GCTCATCTCCATACCAGAAATATATTTAACGCTATATACACTTGATCAGTCACTCGAACGGAAACGGAGGCGATTACGAATGCCGCTCGCAACGCAGATCGCTGAAGAGGGAGAAAAAAAGGGAAAAGATACCAAATGGAGTTGAAAACGAAATGAGATATTATTTTATATGTACAAATGTATCTGTACCCTCCACAGGCGTTCGAAAATCGTTAATATTCAAATCGCATCGTCGGAGGACCTTAGCAGGTAGACGTCGCTTCATAAATCGATTCGATATTCGATTTAAGACTCGCGAGCAATTCTTTTACCATAAGCGGGGCTTCGATGAAGAGGAAGCAGAAGAATCGGCTAAAGGAAAAAAGGAGTGGAATTGGGCGTATGAGGCAAGTACAGTGGGAAGTGTTTAAGTCGAACAATAATATTAAATAATAAAAAATATTGTAATTACTTTAATTACTTCCATTAAAATTGAAGATTATATTCAAATAAAAATATTTATCCTATTTTGTTATATTTTATTTTTAGTTCAGCTACTGAAAGAGGTTTTTGTTTGGAGTTTTTACTGTTTTTGGGTGTGTTAGTTGTTTTTTTTTTTTTTTTTTGGGCGGGGGGCGTCGACTTTACACACACATTCAGAGACGGGTGCGGGAAGTTCAAGTTCAAATTTTTTTTTATTATTTAGTTCTGCACGGGAGAGAGCGAGAGAGGGAGAGTGTTGCAGCGGCAAAGAGAGCGCAGCATATACATACACACACGAGCACACTGCAGTTGGGAAAATGCAAGCCAAATATGGTTATACGCAACAGTCGAAGCTCTCTCTCTTTGGCGCCCTCTCTTCGTTTTATGCTGTGTAAGCCGCTCTCAGGCCCCCTCTGCCCCCCTCTCCTTTTGTACAATAGCACGCATTGATTTATAATGCAAAGTGATCGATTGCCTTCATTTTATGGCTCACTGGAAAAACGGGAAGTGGAAATGGAAATGGGAAACGGGAGGTTAAAGGTGTGTGGTTATATGTATGTATGTATGTGATTTATCGTTATTCGGCTGGAGAAATGATCAAGGAGGAAGCTTTAACCCTAGATGGGCTTACGACTAAGCATAAATATAAATTGTTCATTTTTGACGAATGAAAAAATTCATTTTTACGTTCATTTTATTATCTTTCTTCTTTTTTCTTTCTGAAACACTAAATTTTAAAACATTTACCTTCTTAGTAAATTTATAACATATTTTGAAATATGTATGTACTACATTCATACATTTGTATGTATTCATTTTTTGGTCATGTAAAATCCTACGCTCCACCACTTGTTTGGGGGTCTCGAAAAAAAGTGAAAACCCATTTGGAGCTCACGGTTTTGTGTCTAAAAAAGGGCATGGAAATTCATCGGGCCAAAAAGAGCATTGTAAAGCGGGAAAAACTAACTCAGAGCGCAGAAGCTGTTCTATATAGTACATATATATGTATGTGTCTATGTTGGCAATGCACATTATGTTCGCATCGATGTACACAGCTGATGCAGCGTATAAAAGTCTACATAAAAGGCCATTAAGTGAAGAATTTGGAAAGAACATTTTTCTGTAAGAAATAACTATTAAATCTAAAATTTTTAGATTATCTTATAAAAATAAATATATTTAATCTTTACATTTTCCAATTGGGTTCTTGTCATACCATCTATGTATACAATTTTGTCTGTATAACCCATGTATTTTATTATCCCAATAAGCAACTACATAATTACCATGCCCAAATTCAAGTCCGCAATGTCAAAGTTCAAAAGGTTAACTCAGGCAGTTACCGTTATGTGTGTTTTTGCATATTCTTATCATTATCATTATCATCAATTGCAGCTGTTTTCATTTCTCTCGTTCTCTCTCTTTCTCTTTTAATGCATCTTTTGGAAGGAGGAGGTGAATTGGGGGTGTGGGCAGATAGGTGTGGTGTATTAGATTAGCGGTGCAATAGTAACAGTGGTGGTTTTCGCAGAATTCGCCGCATTCAGGGGAAAACTAACCCCGAAAAAGGAGAGAGGCAGAGAAAGTGGAAGGACAAAAGAGAGAGAGAGCAGCGAGGAAATAACGGTAAAACGCCTGCGCTGCTCTCACCCACAGCACGTGCAAATATTCACATGCCTTCCTTTTTTTGCCGGCCGCTCTCTTTCTCTCTCTCTCTCTTTGGAAATATACATATTTATATATTCTATAGATATAACCCTGCTTGACCCGACCTTCTGTAACTACCCATCATGAAGGTTAAAGAGCTTTAAGGCAGGCTTTCATTTCATCATATTATGTATAATCTGCGATGGAATATAATATGATGAGATTTTCTAGGCATTAATTCCAAAACTCTGGCAAGTACTCGAATTTATTATGTGCTAATACATTTTGTTTTTAGGGAATTCATTATTTTAAACTTAATTTTTAGGGTAAATTAATTTTCTCTTTAATTAACTTGTTTTTATTATGTGATATGTAATTTGCATATTAAATTAAAGGACTATTTACACAAATTATAGCGCACTTATTGGGGCATATTTTCAGCAATTACTTTATAATTTACCAGGCAGGTATTTTTCGAAACCTCAACTTCTCCACTCACTTATCATGTAATTCTCTTATGTAAGGTTAGCCCAATTATCGAAGGTCATATCAGGAATAATCAGACCTCGGGTTCGATTTGTTTTGAAACACTTCTATCACGCACTCTTCCTCTTGGCTTTTCCAATTTCGTGTAATTCTCTTGTCGATTTTTCCATATCAGCAATGATCGCTCAAGGTCTGTGGTTCTATTCAATTTCTATATTTTTTTTTCTATTCGGCAGTCAATCAGCGGTGACATTTATGATCAATGGGACAGTGGGTGGGGGTGCATACATATATCGATACGAAAACTGTACATATTGTCTTGTGATGATAAAAAAAACAGTGTACAGATGCCAAATGAAATATTTCCATGATCAACGAAATTGTGTCTAGTTCGCCTTTTCCAGATTTTATAATACCTACTACAAGTGTATCATATAGGGCGTATCTTATCCAAAGCCCGCAACCTGCGTCACTATGCGATAATTGTTATTATTTTTATGTTACGCATTTCAAACTGACGCACAACTAAATGATTTTTATATGACCTATGAGATTTGTTTTTTAAAAACTACTAATTAAAATTTAAAAATTAATATAACAATTATGAGTAGTGAAATTTGTAGAGAACTTGGAACAATCTCCAATGATTTCATCCATCGAAGTGGATTTCAGTAATTCCCCAATTCTGGAGCACCTCAGGTGTTATGGCCCCCAGTAAAAGAACCAAAGTAGTATATAATATGATAGTATAGTATAGGCTATAAAGCGGAATAGTTGTTGGGTCATAAGAAAATGGAACCACAAGCAGAACGAACGGGCTGTTAATCTAATCGGCGGACGATTCTCTGGCGTTTTATCAACGTCATGGCGACTGGCTAACGGTAATGGTAATGGTAACGATCCATTCCGTTTTGTTCCCTCGATAAGATTGCCATTGCGATTACGTAATATCACTGGGGTATTTTTTCTATTTTTTTTTGGCGAAGTGGAGGAAATGAATTTAATAAAGTAATGATGATAAATATAGTTTTGATAGCCGCGGTCAAGTCGGGGATTTTCGGGGGGTATTTTGTACGAGCTTAGCCCTGAAAGTATTGATTCCATGTGATATCGATTTCCAATTCCGCGTGAATGAGTTCTAAATACTCGGCGATCGAGTGTATTAGTGGTTTTATTGCCCCTTTGTGAGGCACTTGCTTTGGGCGTAATGGCCAAATTAGGGCAAAAAAACAAAAGCTAACGTAAACGGGGATAATGTAAAACGAAAGCCAAACAACTAACATTGCAAATGGAAGTGAGGCGAGGTCGAGGGCATGGGCTTTAAAGTTGAATTTACATAAGAGACAAGGCCAGTTGATAGAGTTTTCTATTTATGTATTTAGAAGACATTCATTCCCCTATATTTTCTATTTTCTGTATTTATTTTAGTAGCTAAAAGAGTAGTTGCATTATATCAAAATAAAAACCCATTATCATAAAAGACCGAATTTGTAACTGATAAATATTTGAGAAACCGTTGCTATAGCGCCACCTATTGAAATTTAAAGTCTTACGATTTGCTTCTGATCTGGCAGCTCTGGTCAGGTTTTTAAATTGCAACGGCATGGGCGACACCTAGCGGACTTTATACAAAACAAACCCACCTATTTTTCTCTTTCTGGCAACCTTTTCTAACATTCGATATTATTTCGATTAACATATATCAAATATTTAAATTTTAAAATTAAATTTAGCTAAAATTGAAAATAAAATTATACATTTAATAGGCAAAACAAAGAGAAAATAGAGATGAAAACTCACAATTCTGTTCCTTTTGGACAATAAAAAATATTGAAATGAAATTAGTTTAACTTTGTTTATTTAGAATATTGGTAAACTAGTTAAAGATATAAATCTTAATGCACACACATATTTATCTGCCTCCGATTCCCGCAGTCGAATCACTATTGATCAATAGAACCATTAAACTAAAGCCAAGTTGGGGTTACAATCAGGTGGCTAAGGTGTGTCTAAAATACAGGATTAATCCAGGGGTTAGGTTAGACATGTATAATATAAACTATATATATATAGATATTTATTGTAAGTATGGATGTAGAGGATTCAAAATATGATTGGTCGATAGCCGATCTGCAGCTGGTCAGAATGAAATGAGGAGCACGCACAATCGAGTTCGCTTTTATGGGGATTTCTTTTTTATCTTTTTACTTGAATATTATCTTGTTATCACAGACGCCCCAGCACAGTTTTTTTGATTTTCTTTAGCCGCCTCGGGGAATTGGACCCGCGGATGTCTGGGTTCTACTTGGTGGTTTTCGGGATGTGCGTCAAAATTTCTACGCAAGTGTCACGCGTCGTCACATGAAAAATCATCAGCGAAATTGGGGAGAAACGTAGAATTCCATTTCCTTTTCCATTTCCACGGAGATGCTGCCTCCATTGCCTCAACATTCAGACCGTTTTCCATCTTCCGGTTGTTTTGTAACAGGTGTTTCTGAGTGTTGTATGCTAATATTGGTTGTATTGCCTAAGACGAAACATCTCAACCACCCTAAGGATTGGCAGTCTGAGCCTGGCCAGCGGTGATTCCACTGGCTGTTGGAGCGACCTCCTCTTCTCCAGCGGCGGCTGCGGCTGCCATCGCCTTGTTAAGGATCTTGTGAAAGTGCTCCCCGAAAACGGCGTGATTATAGGACACAAGCCGACGGAACGAGGCAATAAATGCAACCAGCTCCTCCTGGTAGTCAACGAATCCTGCCGGCGGCGGCGGAATACTTCCATTGGAGCGGAGTGTCACCCGCACATAGCCATCCAATCGCTTGGCTGCAAGAAAAATGGAAAGGAGTAAGGTTTAGAAGGAAGCGGATATTTATCTATATAAATCTGTATTAGAGCCCTGCGTGAATTCTTCAATTTTTGTTTTATCATAGTATGCCATGAAATCTCTGATTTGTTTAATTCAATTCCATGTGAAATAAATTGAATGTTTTTCTAAATCATATCGAATTGAATGAATAAATTAATAATTTGTATGCATGTTTTGATTTTGCCAGAATTATTATGTGCTTTCTTTTGAGAACAAAAGTGGACAATTTTTAACTAATCAAATTATTTTATGTACATCCTTTTAAATTTAGATTTACCAGTTAAATATGTTACAACAAACAAAATTAAAGCTGTTTTCGTATTATTTTGGCTTTACTTTTTCGATCCTTCCTATGCCACTTTTATAATATAGTCCTCTTAATTTTGTTAAACTGAAAACAAAATTCTAAAATATTATACCCAGAGTAAAAGAGAATATAATAATAATCAAAAGATCTAAACATTTTTTTCCTAATTATTTCAAATTATTTTTGCGATTGGTCCTATTTTTATAAACATACGGACAAACTAACGGACATACGGACATGGCTAGATCGACTAGTCTAGTGATGCTAATCAAGAATATATAAACTGATTTAAGCTTAAGACTGAAATCATTATACTATTTAAAAGGGTATAACAATTGGATTTAGTAATAGGGATTTTCTCTTTAACATAATTAGGGGGCCATATAAAATATAACTCACCCATTAAACTGTTCACTGGCGACGCCTTGTTGGCCAGCTTGAGCACCTGGTTCTTGAGGCCCTCCTGGTCGGCCTCGCTCATCACCGGCATATTCTCCTGCTCCAGGGCTTTGTTCACAAAAGAGCGAATCTGCTCGTAGCAGCTTTCAATGGCAGTGGCTACTTGGCTGTAATATACAAAATAAATTATAGATCCCATCGAAAACAAGGTAAGAAAAACTCACTCCTGGTTCTTGACATCCTGCACAATGATGTCCAGCTGCTGGGACAGCTTGATGCGATTCTCGCGACGCTGCGAAATGATGGGTGTGCTCTGGGCAATCGAGATTAGCGAGGCGCAGAGGATGAGACGTTGGGCTCGCCAACTCAACCCAGCAAAGCGCTCCTTGTCGATGCGCAGCAGTTCGGGGAACTCCTTGTCTGCCGGATAGTCAATCAGCTGCATGTACGCATTGTAAATGGTCTCATCCATGTTGCTGCCGGAGCGATGACGCTGCAACCAGTCCTCGGTGGCCGGAAAGCCAGCTGGAAATGAATAATCTTTACAATCAGTTCCCTTTTTATATGATTTCAGTCAGAAGTTTGCAACGTAAAGTATATATATTCTTGTCCGTTTGTCCGTCTGTCCGTCCGTTTCTACGCAAACTAGTGTCTCCGTTTTGAAGCTATCGGGGTGAAACTTCACCAAAAGTCTTTTTTCTATAGCAAGTGGTATATAAGTCGAAACCAGTCAGATCGGACAAGTATATCTTATAGCTCCCATAGGAAAAATCGGAAAAAAACGTTAAAAAAATTCTAGCTTCAGTGTTTTTTGAAATTTTACCTTCCACCCTTGGCAATATTATTTTTTAAATATTTATGAATTTCGAATAAAATTTAGAACGAATCGGAACACTATATCATAAAGCTGGAAAATTAAATGCAAATTAATAGGAAAAAAATTATTGCCTCGTTGGTTCTTATTGTATTCTCTTCTACTCTGGGATATGACTCTTTTTAAATATTTCGATTTTAATTTTATCAAAATTGAACTACTATATAATAGGAAATTGAACAATTTTGCGATTTGTAAATTAATAGAAATTATCTGCAAGGGTATATAAGCTTCGGCTTGCCGAGCCTAGCTTTCTTTCTTGTTTTTTTAGCTGAAAAACTGGACCCACCATTGCCATGGAACTCGCGCAAGTACTTGCTGAATTTCTCCTTCTCGTACTGCACCGAATTGGCAGCAATTTCGGTGCGGGCCAGGGCCAGCATAAAGTTGGCCATATCCATTTTCATCAGGGTCATTAGCTCGAGAATGCTGCGGAACGTGTCCACCACATCGTCGATCTCCCGCAGAGCGGCCACCGCTTCGTCCCTCGCTGGTGAGCAGGATCGCGAAAGGATGTTGATCACAAAGTTGGCATACGACCGAAAGTCAAGGGTTCCGCGCTCCGCCTGCTGACGGATTACCGCATCATCCAGCACCGCATTGATGTGGGCCAAGGCCCGTTCGTTGTTCGGCGACAGCAGCTGGGGGAAGCACTCCTTGATCTCCGCCAGCAGCCGGATGGCCTGGTCATACGACGGCGGCTGGCGCTCCAACTGTTGGCGCAGCAGATCCCAGAACGCCTTGTGCACCATCTTCTTAATGGCGCCCTCCAAGCTGGGGATTTAAAATTTTAAATTAATTTTTTGTTTAATATTTAAATGTAGTTTTTAGACAGAAAAAAAAACCGATATGAAATAGGGTTATTTCTACCTTATTTCATATCAATAAGAAGCCGATACGATTTATGTCAAATATCAACATATCAACATGATATTTTATCATATCATAAATTATAAAGATAATATTTTTATGAATATCGCCAATTTATTAACCTACTTAATTAATATATATAAATTAATATATTAGAAAAGTCAATAAATATATGATATATTTCAAATTATATGATATGATATGATTTATGTCAAATTTAAGATTCAAACATATCAACATGATATTTTATCATATCATAAAATATAAATATAATATTAGTGTGAATATCGCCAATTTATTAACCTACTTTATTAATATATATAAAATAATATATTAGAAAAGTCAATAAATATATGATATATTTCAAAATATATGATATGAAATTTCAAATTTAAGATTCAAACATATCAAATGATATTTTATCATATCATAAAAAATATCAAATTTAGTATTTTTTGAGCAAATAATAAAAAAAAAGATTATCATAATCTTTATTGATTTTAAAATGATATGAATAACTTGATCTTTAAAAAATATCAAATTGACCAGAACTATTTTTTTTTCTGTGTATAAAAATCTCACCTATCCGAGGGCGGTTCGTACTTCTGCAGCTTAAAGTCCGGATTGATGGCTATCTCGTGGGCCAGCTCCATGTTGCGCAGGTCCTTGAACATGCTGGACACCTCGTCCAGGGTCACGATCTTCGGCGGAGTGCCATCTAAACTGGGCAGCACAAAGCGCGTCATGCTGTCCACGGAACTCTCGCTGTCCGTCCGCATCCGCCGCTCCTCCAGCTCATCCTGGCCGGATGATGACTGGCCCGACTGGCCGCTCCTGTTCTCCTGGGCATCCATTTTCACTCTAAGCCTGGCTTTGTTCTCTGTTAGCCCGATTGCCTGTTTGGCTAGCGGAAGTGCGACGTTAGGCAGCTGCAGCAACTGGTTTTGACCAAATGCGAATTTGGTTACCACCGGTTAGAGCCAGTTATATATGGCTATATGGCTAAAAGGCAGTGTGGCAGTGCAAACTGCAGTCGCGCTTTCTTTGTTCTTTGTTCGAGGTCGTCGCAGAAGCTCCGCTCGGGGTCAGTTCGCCTGCGAAAAAAGGGGGGTTTTGAATACAGTGAATGTTGCATACAAGGTAATATTTTATATTTTTTCCAAGAATATAATATGGGAACTTGGAAATCAAATATTTTACATTATTCTAGGTGTTTTTAAGTATTTGATTCGAATTTTCGAGTTTCTGTTTAGCTTCTACAAGAGATATTTCTATTTCGCAATTTAAAAAAAAAATTGTATTTAATATGTGATGTTTATTTACCAATAATGTTCTACTACTCATAATACCTTTTATGTAAAAAATTCATATTTAAGGATGCTATTATAATCCATATATTTATGTAAGTACTTTAAATATATTTTAAAATGATTATTTTTATTTATAATTAAAAACAGTATTGTTACCAAAATAATTTAATACCATCTAAGATGTAAAGATAAAGAAAAAACTTTTTAAATATAACTGACAAATTAAAGAATCAAATAATTCTTTTTGAAAATCTAAAAATTAAGAGAATAACAGTTTCTTTTGTTAAACCAAAAATTAGGATTTTACAGTTTTTTAATAATATAAATATTATAAAGTGTAATGGCTGATAAACATTAAAAAAACGTAAAATGCCTAATCATAAAGCAGTGCCGCTCCTTCTATGGAACTTTAAAAAAAATATTCAAAAAAATATTTATAGATTTGGGATCGTTACTAAAAAACAATATTTCTAAATCAATTGCTGCCTTCACATTTTTCATAGCCAAAAATAATTTTTCGAAATACGCTTTCAAAATAATTGTTAGGCAATATCCACTGTAAATTACGAACACACGGAAGAAAACCGTTAAACGTGACTCGCACACACACACAGGCCAAACAAGTGTGTGTGGGGTACAGAGAAACAAAGAAAAAACGCGTACGATTTGAATGAAAATTGAAATGTAACACTTTCGAATATTCTCGAAAATTCTAGAATATGCAATTTGGCGAGCTGCGTGGCACAGATTCCAAAATTAAATGTGTAAAAATGGGAGCAAATTGCACAACGGCCACACAGCGAAGGGGCGACATAAACAAACGGCGCAATAAAGCAGCAACGAAAACAGAAGCGATTAAAATACACATGTTTGTGTACGTGTGTGTGTGTATTTATTTTTTGTTGCTGTTTTTCCAATTGCGCAGCAAACTCAGCTGGGAAAATTAGGAAATTGGGAAATGGACACAAGGACGCTGCCAAGTGGGTGGAATGGGGGCGTGTAAAGAGCACAAGATTCGTTTACTTACTCGCGAAGAAATGGCAATAACGAGAAGGTTCCAGAATCTCGACGATTATCCCACACAGCTGATTCACCTTTTTTTTCCACAATCACTTACAAATTTTGCAATTAATTTCGATCCCCTTGAAGTTCAAACCCACAGGATTACTTTCATGCTGCAGATTATTACAACTGAACTGTCACGAACGACGACCGATTTCCGAATGCTTCCGTTTCGATTCGAAAACTTTGTTTGTTGTGCCTGCTTTGTTTTCCCTTTACTTTTCCCCTTCCATGCACAGCTGTTCGATAGGCATGGAAAGTCGATACATTGGCGTCGCTATCGATACACGGCACAGTGGGACTGTAAAAAGAATAATATAATAAATTTCACCAATTTATTAACCTACTTTATATATATAAATTAATATATTACAGAAGTCAATAAATATCCATGTCTTTGATTAAGAACTGAGAAACTGGAGGTTTCCTGACCTTTATTAAATAATAATAACAATTTATTTATAAATGTTTATTAACAAAATGGACATTAGTCTTTTGAAATTCATAAAAATTACTATTAGTTCGCTGCTTTATGTTAGTTAAGTTGTCTCAGCCATAACTTTCGTATATGAAAACTCTACAATTGCATTGTGAATCCTGGATTATTTTTGTGCCGAAAGCAAAGTTGAAGAGACTTTTCCATATAGTACACGTATTCTTGATCCTTTAACCTATAACTTCCATACGCTTAGGAATATCATTAGTTTATTTGCTGGATTATTTTTGTGCCGAAAGCAAAGTTGAAGAGACTTTTCCATATAGTACACGTATTCTTGATCCTTTAACCTATAACTTCCATACGATTAGGAATATCATTAGTTTATTTGTTGGTTTTAATCAATTTTTTTTTTTTTATTTCAGGTAAAATAGACTTTTTTGACGACTAATCATAATTAAAATTTGTTCTACAAGATTTTTCTTGTAATTTCTTTCTATTGATTCAAATCAGTTCAAATCGAACAAAGCAGGCCCACAAATTCATTTAAATTTTGCGCCAAAAAGATCAAAAACAATACAGTCCCACAGGGTGATTCAGGTATTTGATGGTATTTTCTGTCCCATCCCTAGCACAGGGTGTTCACAGAGCTACGGCTGTTAAAAAAACATTTTTTTTCGGTCCAGTCAAAATTTGCCATTAAAATTTGCGCCGATTGCAGCGGGATCAGGAGCTCCCTTACATTGGGCCTCCCTTTGGGCAACCCGGAACGAAACCCATGGAGAGCGAGAAGATTCTGATGGCCGCCGGAGTGACGGTGGCCGCCGTGGTGGGAGCCTTTGTATTTTGGGGTCCTTCAGGTAAGTAGAACTATATAATCCATTGATATCTCTGCATTCTAATCCCCTACTGACCCACCTAATAGGCTCTAGACTCCGCCAGCGACGCGGCCAAATCGCCGGGCTGCACAACTTCGGACGCACCTGTTTCCTGAACACGCTGCTCCAGGCGATGGCCGCCTGTCCGCAGTTCATCGCCTGGCTGCAGCTGTACAATAATGCCTCTCCCGATCGCAAGAGCCTCATCACCTCGATGCTAAACACTCTGGAGGTGGTCAACGGCACCCATGCCACGCTGCGCGGCGATCCGCATTCCCCGGGCGCCGTTCTGCGTGCCCTGAATTCCCTGGGTTGGGTCATTCCCCAGGAGGAGCACGATGCCCACGAGCTGTTCCACGTTCTGTTGTCCTCGCTGGAGGAGGAGGCCATACGGCCGCATCCCCTGGGCTGCCTGTCGGATGCTTTGCCAGCGGATAGTGCAGACGATGCGATCAGCTTTGCGGGCACAGCCACTCCGGTCGGTGGCTTCCGACCGATTAGCTCCATGGCGGCGCCGCGGATTGGGGATCAGCCGAACAGACCCTCGAGCGCCATGCTCACCGATTTCCTGAACATGGAGTACGATGAGAGTACCAGTTTGCAGCGCCTGGTGCGTTCCGAGGCCCACACACCGGATTCGCCCGCCTCCGTTTGCGAACGCGAGGGCAACGATCGTCTGGGCTCCCTGCTGCTGGACGCCGTTTCGCCGGGCACGCCGTTCGGCTTTCCACTGGCCAGCGAACTGGAGTCTTCGCTGGGCGGCGAGCGGCTGTCGCGTCCGCGGCAGCAGCAGCAGGCGGAGGAGCAGGGCCTCAATCGCCGGGTCTCCAGCTCGTGTCGCTCGCTGGAGCGACTGCATCGCGGACCCGGCCGCGTGTCCATCTGGTCCAACATGATGCCCAGCCAGGTGGCGCATCCGTTTCAGGGCGCCATGGGCGCCCAGATCGTCTGTAATGGCTGCGGCTCCAAGTCGGCGGTGCGTTATGATAAGTTCGATAGCATCACCCTCAATTTGCCGCCGCAGCGGAGGACTGGTTTGAGTTTGGGCCACCTGCTGAGCGACTACATCACGTCGGAGGATCTGAGCGACGTCAAGTGCGACTCCTGCAACGAGACGACCACGCACACCAAGTCGGTTACGTTTGCCAAGCTGCCCGCCTGCCTGTGCATCCATGTGGCGCGGACCGTGTGGCTGCCCACGGGGCAGGTGTGCAAGCGACAGGACTACGTCCACTTCCCCGAGAGCCTCTCCATGGCGCCCTACAGCTTCGTTCAGCCGCACCTCAACAGCCAGGTGAGAAAATCAAGAGTTTTAATGGGATTCCGCTATAAAATGTTTGATATTTATTTATTTAGTTTATTTAGTTAGTAAATCATACTGTCTATCGTTAAAGGTTACATTTTTTATAATATTTGTTGGTTTCCCTCGAAAACTGTAGCCCTTTCCTTTTCCTATTTGTGAAAATATCTGGTATTTTTCAATTACTTTTAAATAAAAAAGTTTTGGAATAGAGCTTTGGTTATGTAAATGATTCTACAAATTTTTTTAAAAATCAATAATTCAATTTTACATTATTTTTAATATTTTCCCGCTTGCTATTCTAAAAATAAGACTTTGAATAAACCCATTTATTTTATTTCCAATTATTTTATAACATATATTTAATATTTTGCAGGGACTCAGTCATAAAAAGATTGAAATTTAATTCTAAAAACTAAAAAGTTAGTCAAGTTAGTAAATCATACTATCTAACGTTATAGGTTACATTTATCCCTCGGGAACTGTAGCCCTTTCCTTTTCTTATTTGTGAAAATATGTGGTAAAAATAGCATATTTTGAATTAAAATATTTTTGGAATAGAGTTTTTGTTATGTAAGTGATTTTACTTGTGTTTTTGAAAGTCAATAATTGAATATTATATTATTTTTATATATTCCCGTTCCCCATTCTGCTAATAATATTTTTTTCTTTAACCTTATGGAAAATTTGTATTTCCTTTACTTATTAGTGAAAATATGTGGTAAAAATAACATATTTTTAATGAATTTATTTTTGGAATGGAGTTTTGGTTATGTAAGTGATTTTAACTATGTTTTTAAAAGTCAATAATTGAATATTATATTATTTTGAATATATTCCCGTTTACCATTCAGCTAATTATATTTTTTTCATCAAACTTAAATTTATCTTTCCTTTTCTTATTTGTAAAAATATGTGGTAAAAATACGATACATTTAATTGAAATATTTTTGGAATAGAGTATGGTTATGTAAGCGGCTACATATTTTTTTAAAAGTCAACAATTGAATATTGTATTATTATTATTATATTAAATATTTCTTTAAAAATTAATAATTAAATATTATATTATTTTATATCATTTTATATATTTTATACCCGTATGCCATCCTCAAAAAATGTTTAATTTTAAATGTATAAAAAATTGCTTTATTTTTGCAGGCTGGCACTCCCTGGGGCTCGACGATGTCGCTGTACTCCTCCAGCCTGCCGATGAACAATGGCGTGGGTGGCGGCGAGGGCTTCGGCACGATGTTCCCCAAGAATCTGTACCGCCTGCTGGCCGTGGTGGTGCACTCGGGCGAGGCGAACAGCGGTCACTTTGTGACCTACAGGCGGGGCTCCTTGCGGAATGCACATCGGTAGGATGCACTTTATTATCCCCCCTGTATATACAAATAATTATAATTATTACTTATATCGCAGGTGGTTCTACACATCCGATACGATTGTGCGGGAGGTGAGCATCGATGAGGTGCTGAGCGTTCCCGCCTATTTGCTTTTCTACGATCGCGGCCAGCAAAGACAGCTCAACCTACGCTAGTCGGCTAGTCAGCCAAAGAGCTCTCGCATCTTGGGATCATCGGGATCGTCATCCTAGTCAACACTTGATGTGATGGAAATCCAAATCCAAAAATCCTTATTGTCGAACGGTGGCCATAGCGAACACGCGTCACATTTATATATAGATATATATATATATAACTTATTATATATGTACGGGAACCCACGATCTGATCTATACTCGACGGGGTTATGTAATGGTCTCTGCATAATGCATAATGCATATTTTCAGCATATTGCCATTTGAAATCTGCATCACCCTCACGTCGCAGAGAACTCGACTCTTCATTTGTTATCGATGCATTTAAGATTTTTTAAGAATTCCAAATTCATACTGTGCTTTTAGCTGTCTGTATTTAGCAATATACACACATAAACTACCAGTAATTGTTTGCGCGTTATTTCTGTAGGTTAGATGTTCAATAAAAATTTGGAAACTACGTTTGTATTAATATTTTTTGGTTGAAGGGTTTATACTGAAGAAGGGAAAAATAAATTAATTTCAAGGCAAGTGAAATTTGTCCATGGAAAATGTATTGAAAGTATTTCTAATGGGATTAGAAAATTGAAGAAGCAAATATTTCATTATAAAATTATGTTTTTTTATTTATTGAGAGTTAAAAATTGTTTTTTGAAATAAAAAATAAGTTAAAGTATATTATAATATGATGTTTGCTATTTAAATGCTTTCCATAACACATTTAATGTAGGACCAAGTTATAACTTATTAATAAATCAAAATCAAATATATTTTAATTATAAAAATTATAATTATAAAACTATTTTTCTTTAAATATGAAGATTAACCATCAGTTAATTAGTATTATTAAATAAAATAGAAAATGTATACATATTATTATGTTTTCTTTTTTAATGTTTTCTATAACACATTTAATCTCAAATGTAGTTATTATTTATTACCAAATAAATCAAATATATTTTTTATGTAAAAATTAAAAAAATAAAACTATTTTTGTATATTTGAATATTAACCCTCAGCTAAAAATGTTTTTTTTTCAATAAAACTTAAATAAAGTTTTAATCATAAAAATTATAATTATAAAACTATTTTTTTTCAGTTAATTAGTATTTTATTAAATAAAATAGAAAATGTATACATAGTATTATTATGTTTGCTTTTTAAATGCTTTCTATTACACATTTAATTTAGGAGGTGGTTATTATTTATTAATAAATAAATCAAATATATTTTAATTAATAATATTTTATAGTTGTTAATTGAAAGAAAAGTCTAGAACTTCGATTTCAAAACGCGCCCAAAGTATCGATAGCCGCCATCGATAACGGGCGTCGGGGGTTAATCGGCCGAGTGTCATCGCTTCCTGAGAAGAAGCAACGCGTAGAATTCCAATTTCATTTGCCAAAAAAAGGTGTTAGAAAGTTGCGATTGGTGAAATCTAGCGGGCCAGGATGTCTGATGCGGAGCTGGAACAGACGCCCAGCGCGGGCCAGGTGCCGGAGGAGCAGGAGCAGGCGGCCGAGGAGCAGGAGGATCAGGAGATGGGACAAGATGCCTACACAATGGGCGGTCCGCCGAGGACGCCGGTCGAGGATGCGGCGGCCGAATTGAGCGCCAGCCTGGATGTTAGCGGCTCGGATCAGTCGGCGGAGCAGTCGCTGGACCTCAGCGGCGTTCCAGCGGAGGCCACCGCGGACTCTGCGGATGCGGAGCCACCGACGAAGCGCTCGAATCGCGGCATTAGTCCCATTTCCGAGGACAGCACCCCAACGACCAGTGCTTCCAGCAGCTCCACGGCCAGTGGTTCCACCAGCTCCTCGCGCTGCGACGATATTAGCGAGACGGAGGATCAGGCGCCTCCGGAACCGGAGGAGCAGCAGGCTCCCGCTGAACTACAACCTCAGGATCAGCAGATCGACCAGGACATTGACACCGAGGACGAGCCCTCCTCCAACACGGTCATCTGCGTGGCGGACATTAATGCCTACGCCAGTGGCTCGAATATAGATGACTTTGTCATGGATCCCGATGCTCCCGCCAAGGCCATAATCACCGAGGTGGTCACCATTCCGGCTCCACTGCGTCCACCGCCTCCGCCGCTGCAGCCAACGCAGCCTCCCGTCGAGGAAGAGGTGCCCGAGACGCCCGCCTCGCCCACCGACGATGGCGACGAGGAGCCGCCCGTGGTCGGCCTGTCCTCCTACATGCGCGTTCGCTACATGCAGGAGGTGCACACCGGTCTGCCCACGCGCCTGGCGCCCCGTGATCCCCGCCAGCGCAAGATGCCACCGCCCGCCGTCGTGCTGCCCAGTCAAACGGGGCTCGGCGCCAATGTGGAGGCCATTTCCGATGACAGCAGCGAGACGAGCAGCGGCGACGATGAGGAGGACGACGACGAAGACGATGAGGAAGAGGAGGATGAGGATGACGACGAGGAGGATGCCATGACCATGGAGCACGACAGCACCTCCAGGGAGACGGTGATCACCACGGGCGATCCGCTGATGCAAAAGATCGACATCACCGAGAATCCCGAGAAGATCTACTACATACGCCGCGAGGACGGCACCGTTCATCGTGGCCAGGTGCTGCAGTCCCGCGTCACTGGGCAGCATACTCCCGACGAGTACTATGTCCACTATGTGGGCCTGAATCGCCGCCTGGACGGCTGGGTGGGCAGGCATCGGATCTCGGACAATGCTGATGATTTGGGTGGCATTACCGTGCTGCCGGCGCCACCGATGGCTCCCGATCAGCCCAGCACGAGCAGGGAAATGCTCGCCCAACAGGCCGCCGCAGCGGCAGCAGCTGCCTCATCCGAACGACAGAAGCGGGCGGGCAACAAGGACTACTATCTGTCGTATTGCGAGAATAATCGCTATGATTTCAGCGATCGCAAGATGACGCGCTACCAAAAGCGGCGCTACGACGAGATTAACCACGTGCAGAAGAGCCACGCGGAGCTGAGCGCCTCGCAGGCGGCCTCCGAAAAGGAACATGAATCCATAACCAAAATCAAGTACATTGATAAGCTGCAGTTTGGCAACTACGAGATCGACACCTGGTACTTTAGTCCCTTTCCCGAGGAATATGGCAAGGCGCGCACGCTCTATGTGTGCGAATATTGCCTGAAATACATGCGCTTCAGGTCGAGCTACGCTTATCATCTTTACGCATGCGAAAGAAGGCGTCCTCCTGGTAGGGAGATCTACCGCAAGGGCAACATATCTATCTACGAGGTGAACGGCAAGGAGGAGTCGCTCTACTGCCAGCTGCTTTGCCTGATGGCCAAGCTATTTCTCGATCACAAAGTCCTATACTTCGACATGGACCCCTTCTTCTTCTACATCCTCTGCGAGACGGACAAGGAGGGCAGCCACATTGTGGGCTACTTCTCCAAGGAGAAGAAGTCCCTGGACAACTACAATGTGGCCTGCATTCTCGTCCTGCCGCCGCATCAGCGCAAGGGCTTCGGCAAGCTGCTGATCGCCTTTAGCTACGAGTTGTCGCGCAAGGAGGGAGTGATTGGGAGTCCCGAGAAGCCGCTTTCGGATCTGGGCAGGCTAAGCTATCGCAGCTACTGGGCCTACACGCTGCTGGAGCTAATGAAGAACCGCTGCGCACCGGAGCAGATAACCATCAAGGAACTGAGCGACATGAGCGGCATCACCCACGACGACATCATCTACACGCTGCAGTCGATGAAGATGATCAAGTACTGGAAGGGACAGAATGTCATCTGCGTGACGGCCAAGACCATACACGATCATCTCCAGCTGCCGCAGTTCAAGCAGCCCAAGCTTACCATCGACACCGATTACCTTGTGTGGAATCCGCACAGCGCGGTGGCCCGAGCTCCGGGCAATTCCGGCTAGCATACGGAACAAAGGGACCCCGTCCTGCTGTCATCGCAAATTATTGTCATAGAAGACGATGATGATGATGATGATTAGCTATGTATTTTTTTTCTTTACCCCTTTAAATGTACAAATTGTGGGGCTTACAGCTACAGATTTAAAAACAATAAGCAATGTAATACTTAATGTTTGGTTAACAACTCTTTTTTTTTCATAGATCTTAAGGAGTCTTACGGATAGGCTGTTGTAACTATTATTGTTTGAACCAAATGTATACACTCTGTTGTATTTAAGCTATAGTTTTTTATGAGTAGATTGGAAACCAACATCTAAAACTTTGGAAACTTTAACTTTTGATTTAAAATATTATTGTCTTTTGCAACCTTTTGAAATGTATTACATGTTGTATTACCTTAACAGCTCAATTACTCACAACATTTTTCTTGAAAAAACTATAGACTAAAATACTAAATCTTAACTTAAATGGTATCTAAAAAGAACCTCAAGAAACGAATAGGACGGAATTTTTGGTTTAACTCGCTGTCTTAAGTTAGTGATTCGTTACATTAACGTCATAAATAAAAGAGAAGAAGAGTATATATTAAATACAAACACATCCAGTTTATTTTTTTTATTTTAAAAATATTTCTGTAACATATTTCTTTTTTAATGTTTTAAAAGATAAAAAGAAAAAACCTGAACAGCTTAAGGATTACAAATATAGGCTGTTAAATATATTTTGATATGAAAAATAAAACTGAAAAATATAAATTTTATTTAAATTAAAAAACAGAAGAAATTATTGTTTTATTATAATTTTAAATGAAGAGCTCTGAAAACTATTGCAGGCAGTTAATTTTTATTTTAAAAATATTTCTGTAACATTTCTTTTTTAATGTTTTAAAAGATAAAAAGAAAAACCCTGAAAAGCTTAGGTATACAAATACAGGCTATTAAATATATTTTTATATGAAAAATAAAACTGAAAAATATAAATTTTAAATTAATTAAAAAATTACTTTTTTTTATTATAATTTTAAATGAAGAGCTCTGAAAACCATCGCAAGCTTTCTCCTCTCTAGCTCACGAAGAGCTCTGAAAACTATCGCAAGCTCTCTCCTCTCTAGCGAGGAGAGCACACAATCGATAGCCGCAAACGATAACGCCCGCATCGATAGACCCTTATTTCGCCGGACTTGCCCGATTTGTGTTGTTGTGATTCGGGATATATACAGGATATAGCTTAGCCGGGATCCAAAATGGGCCTGCTCTCGGATCCGTCGATATCCACGCAGAGCAAGCTGGTGGACGGACTGGCGCGCCATGTCCGCAAGGTGTGCTACGCTTTATATGTGGCGGGTGTGGTCTGGTTCTTCTGCTTGGCGCTGCCGGAGTTTAATCATGGAACATATCTCTCGGAAAATGCCCTCTCCCCAGGTGGGTTTGCCTTGATAGCTCTCCCTGAAGCTCCCTTAACTCCTAACCCATATCCCCCACAGGCCTCGTTTATCCCGAGATCCGCATCGACGCCAATCGCCTGGCCATCCAGCTGCTGGAGGAGCTGCAGCGCGAGCGCAAGGATCATTTGTCCACCACGCCGCACGCCTGGATCGCGGCCAAGATGAACGAGTTCGGTCTGGAGACGCACACGCACAACTACACGCTGCGCTATCCCTTTGGCGGCGGCAAGGAGTATCACGGCAAGAATATCTATGGTATATTAAGGGCTCCTCGGATTGCCTCCACGGAGGGCATTGTTTTTGCCGCTCCCTACCGCGCCGCCAGCTCTGTGCACTCGGACATCTCGGCCAGCGTGCCGCTCCTGCTGGCCTTTGCCGATTTCGCGCGGCGCAAGAACTACTGGGCCAAGGATCTGGTGTTTTTGGTAACCGAACAGGAGCAGCTGGGCATGCAGGCCTGGCTGGAGGCCTATCACGATGGCGATAGGGATCTGGATGTGAGCAAGGCGTATCTGCGTCCCGGCAATTTGCCCGCTCGCGCTGGCTCCCTGCAGGCTGCTTTAAATATCGAGGTTCAGGATCTGGAGATCGACCATGTGGATGTGCGAATTGAGGGTCTGAATGGCAAACTGCCCAATTTGGATATGTTTAATCTGGTGCAGCGCATTATGGCCCGCGAGGGCATCGCCTCGGGCTACAAGCAGGCGCCGCGCAAGAAGCGTCGCCACATGCAGTCCGTTTTCGAGCTCAATCTCCGCCAGATGCTGACCATGCTGGCCAGCCAGTCGTCGGGCGTGCCGAATGGCAATCATGGTCTGTTTCATCGCTATCGCATTGATGCTTTGACCATAGCGGCCAATCGCAGGGCCACCCATGCCACGCTGAAGGGCAGTCCGGGATCGGCAGCGGTTCCCCTGCTAAAAGCCATTGAGGGAATTGCTAGGAGCCTGAACAACCTGCTGGAGCGCTTCCATCAGAGCTTCTTCTTTTATGTCATCGTAAACAATGATCGGTACATCTCCATCGGCGATTATATGCCCGCCTTGGTGGCTCTGGTGGCCTGTGCCTTTGTCAAGGCCTATCTTACATGGTCCACGCTGCCGGCGACGAATGCTGAGTTGGAAAGGGCAGCTGGCCTGGTCAGGGAGCAGGGAGAGGAGGAGGAACTGGATACGGATGGCGATAAATTCGAGCTGCCCTATGGCTCCGTTTTGATTTACCTCACCGCCACTTTGCTGATTGGCTTCCTGTGCAACGTGCTGCCCCTGCAGCAGTACTTCCTCGAGATTCCCATGGGCGCCGCACCGCTGACCACCTCGGTGCTTAGTTTCCTCTCGCTCATCGGCTTCATTCTGCCCTTCGTGGTCGTTCTGCCGCCCGGCGGCCTGGAGCTGCTGCACGTGGCCTTTCTGCTCACCTATGGCTGCGCTCTGATCGTCATCGGGTTGCTTAACTTTGCCCTGGGCTTCTTTGCAGCCGTGCTTACGGTGCCGCTGGTCGTCGCGCTGGAGACCAAGGAGGAGAACTCGCGCAGCACGCTGAGGAACACCATTCGCCTGGCCACGCTGGCCATGAATCCCATGATGGTGATCTATGTGATCGTGCTGGCCATGACCTTCTATCAGTTTCCGGAGCTGCCGCTGCAGAAGATCATGCTAAGGGCGGCCACCGCGGCCATGGATGCCTCGGCCTATGGGCTCATCGATTCAGTGGTGAGTTTAAAGGATATAGTTTATATATTTATACCCTTTCAGAGGGTATAATGATTACAGTCAGAAGTTTGCATCTGTCCGTCCGTCTGTCTGTCCGTTTCTAAAAATTCTAGCTTCGGTGATTTTTGAAATATTACCTTCTACTCTTGGGGATATTATTTTTTAAATATTTCTGAATTTCGAATTAAATATTTAAAAAATCGGACGACTATATCATTTAGCTGCCATAAGAACGATCGCAAAATTAATGGGAAAGTAATAGGAAATAAATTTTAGCTTTTTTGGATTTTATTGTATTCTCTTCTACTCTAGGATATGATTTTTTCTTAATATTTCCGAATTTCGAATTAAATTTAACAAAAATCGGATCTTATATAGCTGCCATAGGGAAGGATAGAAAAAATAATGCCAAAAAAATACGAAATTTAAAATTTTTGCGATTTGTAAGTTAATAGGAATGATCTGCAAGGGTATATAAGCCGAAGCTAGCTTCCTTTCTTGTTTGTATTTACATTAAAATAAACCTTACTATCTTTCTTTTTTTAGATCTATGGCAACTGGCTGTACTTTGTCATCTGCACCATCTTCCTGCCCCTGTGGATCATCTGCTGGACCTTGGCGCTGTCCAAGCGGCGGGACTACGCCGATTACCTCGACTTCGATGAGTCGCCGTCCACGTCGCCACAGCCGCCAAAGGTGAAGACGAATTGAGCAGATTTCCATTCAAATGTTACTCAATGTTTGATTGAATGTCTACATATATCAACTGGAAATTATCCTAAGATAAAGTGTGATAAACCCAACAAAAATGTGTGCGATGGCGGTTGCACATGCAGAGAAAATTCCATTTAAATGTTATGCATTTGATTAAATGTCTATGAATAAATGAAGCCTATTTATTAGTTGGATATGTCATTTGTATTGTAAGCTTATATACTTTTAAGATTTTTTGATTGTTTTAAATGGTTTACTTTACCGAAATTCTATGGAAATCCTACTTAATGTTTGCCACTTTGTTTGCACGTAAAACAGTAATGCATATTTGCCCGCCCAGGAGTTATTATTTCCTTTGTCAATCCTCCCAGGTTCCCGGTTTTTGTTGTTTTTGCTGTTGGCCAGTGGAGGACAGGAGTTTTTCCGTGGAGTGGTGCTCAGTGGAGCACGTGCCTCTTTGAATAAGTGGAAAACTTTTCGACTATGACACGCAACTTAATTTAAACTTTGCACCGCTGCTAGCTTCGTCTTCTTCGTCGTCGGCGCTGGCAATTAGTTATGAGCCAGGATTTGGCTCAATCAGGGGCATGGATGCATGGTGTCCTCGGAGCTGCAAACCGGTGACTGGGTGGCTGGGAGTCCTGCACTTGCCGCACCGTGTTTACCGGCGCCATTCAATCTGCAACTTAACAAGAAAACTTTGCTCACACACAGATTCAAAGGCAGACACAAAGTTGTCCTGGCACAGTGGTAGTTGCATACGAGGAGGCATTAGTCAATATAGTTACTAAATAATAAATACAGATTAAACAGATTTTAGTACCATTTATTATTTACTTGTTTTAGGGGAAATCCACTTTATATCCTACATCAACCATTCATCATAAAAAGCAAGAGAGGACGTTTAAGTCAATTACCTCGACTATCAGATACCCGTTACTCAGCCAAAGCAAGTGCGAGAGAGATGGAGACATGCATGCAGCAAAGCGACTGCTTGCACTGCTTGAATTTCATTATATGCTTGGCTCATAACTTTTTAATGAATGGCCCGATTTGAAAAATTTCTTCTACATTTCGATAAGTATTAACAAGGACAACAAAATGGCATTTATACTTCTTCGAATTCTTTAGGATGTTAAAATGATTACCATTCTTAAGCAAAAAGTAAGAGTTAAAATAAAGTAAAATTCTATTATTATTTAAGAGCCCATTAATTGTAAATCCAGTCCAAGAAACCAGTTAAAAATTATTATTTTTTTATAATCTAATTAAGATTTAAATTTCTACGCAACCAAAATAAACCAAGGGGTATATAAATTGCATTCATATCTTTATTTAAAAGCTAGTCAATTGGGAGGTTGGCTTCATCAAGGACCTTCTTCTGGGTTATCTTCTGACCCTGGGGACCATCGCCTGCTCCGGATGCCTGCATATCCATGGGACGGTCTAGCTCCACCATATTCGATACCATCTCATTTTGATATTCATAAAGATCGGTTTGAGTGCCCTTGCCGTTGCCCTCGTCTTCATATTGTTTCTGATCCTGATCCTGATCTTGAACCCCCTCTTCCAAATCCATCTCCATCTGCCGCTCCTCGTAGCGTTTCAGGGTGCGAAGACATCGCTGGCGTAGCTCCTGGACATGTTGGCTCTCGGAATCCGCCTGAATGGCCTCTATGAGGTATCTCATCGAGCGCCCACTGTACTCCACCTCCAGGCTGCGGATCAGCTCGGCGTCCCTTTGCATCTGACACTGGATGGCCACCTGGCGTTCGATGGCCCTGGCATCGTACAGCAGTTGATCCAACATTTCGTCCGTCTTGCCGAACTGGATCATCAGATCGTCGGACTTCTCCAGGGCCAAACAAAGTTCCCGGGCCTGTGGGCATCGTGGCGAGGGCGGCGGTGGTGGCGGTGGCACCGGCAGATGGGCCGTCAGACACTGGACGCCACGAGGAGTCGTCTTTACGGGTTGTTTCGTACCCTTGGAACCCGAGGATCTAACGGTGTTTGCATTCTGCTTACGTTTCGAAGCAACTTTTCCACAAGCAGTCTTCGACGACGACGAGGGAGTTTCATCAATCAGCGAATTCTTGAGACATTTTGGTACCGCCATCTCCAGGGATTTTTCCAAGGATCCATAGCCCTCCATGCTGGTGAAATTCAGACGGCGCGCCAGATAAACCACATTGTTTAGAGCCTGATCCAAAGCCAACCTATTGGCATTCGCGCCTTTCACTGCCTCCTCCTCAACTTGCACCCCATCATTCGGTTCGGAGCTCATCTTTGCCCGAGTTCCGTGGAAAATTTTGGTTTTAGAAATATGTAGTATGGGTTATAACCCTATATACAAGATATATAACTCCGCGGTTCTGTGTTGGTTAGGTCAGATCTGTGTGGTATTTGATTTTAGATTTAGGAGTGCAGTGACCGAATTGTTGGGCTAACGTTTCGTGTGTGTTCCAGTTCCTGGAGTTGGGATCAAGTGCTGCCAGGTGGGGAAGGGCCTGCTTAATCTACTTAAACATATCATGTTTTGGGTCTAAGTATGAAGTGTATTAATTATTCAGAGCAAATTCGCTATTAAGCTCTTCGGACTCAATTCCTACACCCAAAAAAAAAATCGATATGAAACGTAGATCGATTTTACATTATTTAAGATCAATTTTAATTTGATATGAGGCCAGGTAAATTTGACCTGGTCGAAAGGAGTATTTCATGTAAAAACGATATGGGTTTTGCATGACCTAAAATTTACATGGCCATATTGTTTTTACGGGAACATGTTTTTTTTTGTTTGTAGTTAGGATTTCTTTTCTGTTGTCTAATTTTAAACGTATTTTTAAATACAGTTTTAAAAATATATTAAATATATCTGTAAAATATATTGAAAAGGATATGATAATGGATGTAAGTATATTATCTTAAATCAGTTTCATAATAGTTTTAAAATTATGTTAAATTATAAATTAATATTTTACTGTATAATTTAATTTAATTTAAATATTTTATTTATTCTCTGGTTAATAGGTAATTAATTTAGAAATATAGTTTTTTTTTCAGGATTATAAATTTTTCCTATAATAGGTCTCTATTGAAGCCCACTGTGGCTAAACCCTTTCGCATTATCCTTTGGCGCTCACAAGCTGCGAGACTGCAGGATAAAAGATGCAGGGAGGTCGATGGCGAGGGGTTAAAATTGGCAAGTTGATGTCACATAATTGCCCCTCGAGCGCTCATCTTAATTATTGTGCTTGCTGACTTCCTGTTGCCCGACTTAATTCCCCGTTAAAGCCAACACACTCTCTGCGGTCGGGATAGCCCCACCACCCCCTAACCCCCCTTACCACACCCCTGGATTTCCCGTTGCTGCGTGTGGAAATAATTAAAATTGTTCGAAGAGCGAGAGGTGTTGCACTTTCCCGAGACGGCGAAAGGGATGGGAATAATGAGAAAGGGGGATTTATGGGGAATATATATATTAACGTGTCAGTGAACAGAACTTTCCTGGCTGCGAAGGGGTTAAAGATAAATATGATGACAGGCTGATCGGCACTCCGATAAAAGTGCATACATATATTATAAATATGTTCAAGTGGCCGTGTAGCCTAACGGATATGGCGTCGGACTTCGAATCCGGAGGTTGCGGGTTCGAATCCCGTCATGGTCAAGCCGTACTTTTTTTTTCGAGTGCCTGTTTCTCTGATTAACCAAAGTGCCGAACAATAGATTTACGCTTCCTTAAAGAACTTGTCGAATTGTTCCAGTTATATGGCGACTAAAGTTTAGGTTTTTTTTTACTCCGATTTGCTTCTGTTTTAATGAAAAGTGAAAAGTGGGGAAACAAGTGCGGAATAGAGGAATACCAATCGAGAGCTTTCAATTTGTTCGACCATTGTTCTGGCTTTGTTTGCTTTGGATTCGGTTCTTCTCTTCTATTTTTTTTGCAGCCGTGCTTTACTTTCGAAAAGAATTGAAACTTTGACAGTTATTTGTGTGTTTTGTCCGCCCTGTCGAAACAATGCAAAGCGGGTGGGGGAATACAGTCACATACCCCCCAAATACCCCTATATCTACATATTGTATATCCCCCAACGGGGAGTCACGTTGCACTCCATTTTTGGAAATGCCAACGATGAGAACAAAAAATTGCGCAGGTGAAATGGAAAACAAACGCATAGAAAGCCGGGAACAAAACAAACACCCAAAAGATTTTACACTCGGGTGAGAAAAAAATTTTTTTGTATTAAATTACTAATATATAAAAAAATATGTTATTTAATAATAAAACTGTTTCAGGGTCTTGAAAAATTCGAGAAAATTGTAAAAAAAAAGTTGAACAACAAATGGTGAATTTTTTTTTAGTTGGATTCAAAAATGCCGAATTTTTTCCCAGTGCAGATGCTGGCAAAAGCGAAGGACACGAGTGCGGGAGAAGTGAACAAATAACGAAATAATATTGCATGCGAATAAAAATTCCGTCAAAACTGCCAATTTCTCTCAATTTGTAAAGTTTGTTGAATTTGGCATTTGTTTTTTTTGTTATTTGCTATTTTTTTTCTGCCCATTGATATGTTTCTTCTGTGTGTGCAGATTTTCGTGGCGTTCGAAAGTTTTTCAACTAGTTGGGGATTTTTTTAGTAGTCCTCATCGGCTGTCTTGAAATTTAATTTCGGCCTGCTTCCACTTAGACTTTTTCAATACTTTGACGCTGCTCTTAATCAAAGTTTGCCCAGCGACAATAAAACTTGCGATTTTATTTACAAACAATCAGAGCCTAGGATGGGCCCCTCCGAAATGGGAAAACAAAGCCCCATCCACAAAGAAATCGGGTGGGGGAAAAGGGGGCAGGGGCAGGGGAAAGGCGGAGAAAGCAAAGAAAGCAAAGAAAGGCGGAGGCCGTTGGATGAATGACAAACGAGGCCGGAGTAGGCAAACTAGAAATGAGTGGAGTGCATGAGGGAATTTACCAAATTGAGCGGGAAAGGCCAGATACTACAGATGGGATATACAGTTAACACCCAATACGATGGACTTGCCCACTTATTAGCTGGGGAAAAAAGGTAAGATTATAAAATTTGAAGTTTCATTTTAGTATTAACCATTATATTATTAAATTAATTTTTAATTTTAATTGTATTACTTTTTATTAAAGAGACTGAAGAATTCGCAAGTTATAAGATATCGGTAACAGAATAAAAAAGTTCAGCCATCCAAATAATAGTACATTTTTTATAATTTAATTCGGTTGTGACTGTAACAATCTTTAAATGTGAATTTCATTTTTAATATTAAGTAGTTTTGTCTTGAAAAATTTTTAAATGGTTTTTATATTGTACAGTGACTTTGAAGTGACACTGAAGAATTCGTGGAGTTCGGATTACTAAGAAAACTTCATAAATTAATTTTGGATCAGATGTCCAAAAAATAGTTTAAATTTAAATAAAGTTCAATTTGAATATTAAATAGTTGTGTCTTTTAAATTTTCTAACTTGTTCGTTAAGTCATCTTAATATGCTGAAGAATTCGCGAATTCAAAGATTTTGAAGGTAAAATAAGTAAAATGAATTGATTTTGCACATCTGATGTATGATAGTTACCTTAAATGGGGTTTGACTGTACCAATCTATGGATGTGTTTGTGCTGGTTGCATTGGGAGGCAAAGAGATAGTACAAAGCAACAGCTACCCGTATGATGTTTTTTTATTGCGGGCAACTCTCGACGTGCTCCCACACACACACACACACGCACACGTTATCAACAAGATAGAGAGGGGAAGACATGAGGTGAAAGAGAGGGAGATATACAGCCCGGGTGAGTGTCTTTTCTTAGTCCTTAAATTCAGCCGGAATTCAATTCCTTTCCCTTTGTCCCTCGTTGAGCAGTTGTTTAGCACATTAAGCCACTAAAACAACTAGCTGGTGGAGAGAAGGAGAGGTAACATCAGGGGCAGAAAGAGAGGGAAGACGGAAGAGGGGGTCCTGAAAGAGAGGGGTAGATGTTGAGGAGAGGTGCCATAACAATCCCTCTTTTTTCCTTCGAGTTGTCAGCTGTTTTACGGCCAAGTTATGACGTGCCTCCGTCACAAGGCTTAAGTACGTACAAAAAAAAAGAAAAGATTAAAATAAAATAAAATGAGAACAAGGAAAAATAACTAAAGACAAAAAACGGCTACTTAAATACCCTACAAAAATATATGTTTAAAGTATTTCAGACTAAAGCTACAAAATATTTAAAATATTATTTAGTTATTAAAGAATGTTTTCCTTTTTTTCCCTACATATGTACTTTATATTTATATACCCTTTGTAAGAGTATCAAAAGAAAAAGACAAGCAACAAAAAAGTCGAGCATGTTGGCCTGGCCAAAAAGGTAGGAAAAGCCGGGAAAAGGAAAACTTTTATACGCTGCTGTCGCTGGCGAACAGAACTTTTGCCTTTTATGTCCTTGTCGTCTCCTATCAGTGTATGTATATCTTTCCATATAGCATACTTACATACATATATATACATTGCATGTCATGTGTGTGAGTGCTTATGGCGTTTTGTGTGACATTTATTGTCAGTTAACTGTGACAAAGTTTGGGGACAAGCATACACGGCGCTATGAGGCATCTGCACAATGTCATCCTCTTGGCTGGATGGATGGATGGATGGATGGATGGATTGATGGGCGGACCTCGGAGTAGGCGACTCGGGTTGTGCCCCAAATCCCAATCGCACAACATCACTGCGACTTTATTGTCTAAATATGTCGGAGAAGGCAAATTTTGAAACCCCTATTCGTATTGAATTGCAGGTAAAAAATGTTAGTTACATTTAATAATGAAAGATTCAAAACTTTAATCCCCCAGTTCGAAAATGTTAGGCGATCTGGAGAGCATTAGGAAAATCCTGCCAGCGGAAAAGGCGGCCACAGGTGGATGGGAAATGAGTGATTTTCCGGAAAATTCCATGGAAATGGCCAGAAAAAATCATCGAGGAACGGGAAGACTGTGCATGATCTTTCGACTGGGAAAGCATCCACGTTGCGAGTTCATCAATGGATTTCCTCCAGCCGATTCAAATACACCCATGTATGGCACAAATAATTATAATATTAAATAATAATAATTAAATAATTATTTCTATAACTCTAAAAATATTTTGTACAAAGAAAAGACTAAAATGGAACCTTAATCACTGAGAAATATTCTTACTAAATACAAGTAATACAAAATCAAATCCATTTTTAAAAGATTTTATTTAAAAAAAAAAAAAAAAATACGAATATACAAGTTGGAATTTTTTTTTAACATTTGTGTTATATAAAAGTTCAAATAGATGGTTCTAATAGTTATGAGATAAAGAAAGGGAAATCTGTAAATACTTAGAAAAATATGTTGTCGTAGAGAATATTTCGAAAATTGTTCCATAACAGTTATAAGAAACTCGTATTTTTCTAGAAAATAAAACCCTGACTGAAAGGGCCAGCTGATTCAGCGAATATTCCCGCACTTACAAGGGATTACCTTTGACCTGAGATGTAACACTCCTTCGCTTGTTTTATTTGCTTTATTGATGAGTCATCAGCAAAAGGAAACGGACGGAAACGCACTTGATATGCTGGCCGGGTTATGGCCGGATTTTACGATCCGAGTGGGAAACGTTTTCGATTTACGCCAAAATGGGTAAGTGTGACAGCAAGCATGTGTTGAAGGGACATAAAAAGGAGTTGGGGAAATTGATTGATAATTGATAACGCAACACGGGTTCAGGTTGTCGAATATATCTATATACATATATTGTAAATGTTGTGTAGATAAGTTAAGATAAGGGGAATTAGAAATGTTAATATTATATTTAAGGAAACTATTATAATGGAATTTTTGATAATTCAAGTTGTGAAGATAGATATCTATCTATATTGTAAATATTGTGCAGATATGTTGGAGGGATCAGGAATGTTAATTTTATATTTATTTGTTTAATTATTTATTTTTATATTCTGGTTTTAAAACAATTACAAATGGCCACCAACCAATTTTTTAGCTATAGCTTCTAGGCCTTAAGCTAGAATATTATACTTAAGAAACTATTATGTTGGATTTTTTCACATTAAACCTTTTCCAGTTGAATATTTTGCTTTGCGGTGAACCAAAAGCCAGTTGCTGCGATATCTTTGAATGAATGAGAACGTCTGCCTTGTGCTTCCATGTGAATTGATTTTGGGAACGAGATGAAACCGGAGGCTGTCTTGATTTCGGACTCGTTCTACGTTCTACGGCAATTTATGTTGGCAGAGTCCGTCGTCCAGATGTTTGGTCGCATATGCAGATTAAGTTGGAAGCAGATCATGTTGCCCAGGACGAGGAGGAGGACACCAGGACGCCAGGACTGCTGGACTCCGGGACTGGGAACCACAAACAGATGCCAGACATAAACGAAGGAGACGGAAATGGGGCAAACTAAACTGTTGTTGGCTTGTTAGGCAGATGGTAGACATAGCCCCAGCCGGATGTGCGCCAAGGATATGCTTACAAGGCAAACAAATTTACCCATAATGCTGTCAGATGCATATCGGACTAGCCCGGACTCGGAGCCATCCATTATTTGTATACCCTTACACTCTCTTACACTCACTGTTTCATCCTCGCATTATGCGCCCACTTAGACGACGGTGGGAAGGGTATTATTTTCCTTTTGAGCTCCGAGTTCTGGGCCCCCGAAAAGAAAATGCAACTGGGCCTTCTTGTTAGCCTGAAAAATTTGTTGATTTTACTACTGCTGCTGCCAAGGCACAGGACACCAAACTTTGGATTCTGAACTGAGGCTCCATCGCCTGCTGTTGCTGCACTGCGCGAAAAAAGCCACTGATTTCAATATAATTATAAAATCTCTATAGAAATATATCAGGAAAAGCTAGAACCTTCTCTAAAAAATAAATTGTTGTATATTTTCTAATAAATAAAATATATTGGTCAAAGAAACTTTATATGGTTTCTGAAAACAAAATAATAGTCAATTAAAAAAAATAAAGCCGAAAAAAATTTTAGAAAAAAAGTAGATTAAATACACAAACAAAAAATTGTTACAAAAAACTATTGCTAAAACTAAAAAATGTACCTATGTATACTACTATTAAAGACAGTGAAATGTTTTTAGTTTATGATTGGCTTATTTTTTAACAGTATAATTACTTTAAAATAAATGAAGTTCTAAGGATAACTATTATATTGACCAATTAATTATAAAACTAAAAAAAATGTATAGTACTATTTAAAACAGTAAAACGTTTTTGAGTTGGGTTTCATTGGGTTCAACTAATAGTAAAATTATTATAAAATTAATAAATTTTATTGGGTGTAAAAAAAATTTAAAATAAAAAAGTTCCTTAAAAATGGCACCTTATTTCTCTGAGTGCGCCGCCTTTGCTGCTGCAATTCTTGAAATATTCACAAAGCAAAGAGAAGATGTCCTGGTTGAGAGGGAAATTGGCCGCCCGCTGGGATCCGTGTCCGTTGGCTGTTTTTTGGTTGGTGATAGTGCCGGCCAGATGGCCACGCCCCCTTGCCCCCCTCCCACGCGCCTACCGCCCCCAGGAGGGGAGGTGGTAGAGTTGCCTAGGCTTCTTGTGAATCTTTGTCAGCCGTTGGTGCTTCTTTCACGGTATGCATCCTTTTTGTTTTTTTTTTTTTTGGTCCTGGCAGATGAATGATGCTGCCTGGAATGCTGCTGCTCCTGCTGCTGCTGCTGCTGCTACTGCTTCTCCGCCGGATGTTCCGGTTGTGGCCACTCCGGGCCAAAGGAGTTGGGTGGACCAAACCAGGACCATCATTTGTGTATTTGCAGACAAATTGGATTTCAACTGCGGACTGCTCCCTCGCCAGCCAGCCGGCTTGCTCAATTAACTTTGTTGCCCAGATCCAAACAGGCCATTTCTCAGACGTGCCATCCTTTCTTCCTTTCACTTGTGACTCCTTGCAGCTGCCGCTTCCTTTTGGCCACATCCTCTTGGCCGGCATCGTCCTGTATCTGTATCTTTGTATCCTTCAGCCCTCGTTTTTGTTTCTTGCGCTCCTTGGTCCACACATCGAGAGTGCATGCTTGATAAATGGCCAGTGATTATGCCACTCCCCCGGCTGCCGAAATCGAATCGAAATGGGCGGATTAGTGATGTAAGCCACAAATGCACATCGATTAGCATCGCCAAATGGGATGGGAAAATAAATCGAACGACGGGGTCGAGATCGATGGTTTTTGGGCCATAAAGCAATCGCATATTGATTCCGACTCACTTTTTCTAGTCCCATAAAGCTTAAACTTCTCTCCATTTAATTTCTATTTATTTAGAATTTTTTTTAAGATTTTTTGCTCGTTAATAATTGATTTAGTGACATTTTACTTTGATTATTCCCTGTCAAAGTTGCAACTTTGTAATTAAGTATGCCTTGCAAAAAAATGCAATCAATACTAAAATCAAATTTGAATAATTTAATGCTGGATTTTGTCTATTTACAGTGTGGGATGAGTAAGCCCGCATTGGATAAATGCACAAATTTGCTATATTTATTTATCAAAATGCGTGATATGGACACACTGGCCCCGGGCGATAAATGTTTGAGCAAACAACCGCAAAAATAAATGTAAGGGTTGAAATCGGAGTACCATGCCGAAAATATTATTCCCTTTTAAAATTATAATGAAGTTATTAAAATTAGAGATAGAATTTTTTTCAAAATATAAATTCTTATTAAACATATTTTTTTTATATTCTCAAACTACTTAAACTAAAAATTCAAAAAATAAGATTGTTTATTAATATTTTACACCTAAGGTCTACTTCTTTTAATAGGCATATAATAATCTTAATATTCCTTCCATTAAAAAGGCAAATATAAAGCCAAACTATTAACAATTTTAATTAACATTATTTCATTAAAATTATAATTATATTTTTGTAGAAAAAAAGTTGTTTGCAAAAAAAGGACTAAAAACTAAAACAAAATTAAGATTATAATGTAAAACATTTTAAATATGTATATATTTGATGTTAGGGCAATCAAAGGAGTAATAGAATAATAGTTAGCTGGGCTGAAAAGGTCCTTGACAGCAACGCGATAATGATTTCCGTTTTCACACCTCGCTGCGACACAAAGGATGTCAAATGAAAAAGTGCAAGCAAGGACGTCGACAGGGGCGTGGGTGGCGGGGGTCCTCACCCTTTCCCTTACTCTTTTTTTTTGCTGTTTTAGAGGGGCTTTGGGGGAATGCCGACGGCAACAGCGGAAGTGCAGCATTTGCACATTTCCGGCGCTGCTCACTCAGCCCGTGCATAATCGATTAACTGGCGCGCATAAACATGACCGCAAATGTGCAAATGCAAAAACACAGGGGCGTTGGTGGTTTTTCAGGGGAGGGGCTAGGGGGAACTTTGTAGCGGGTGATGTCGACATGCATAAATGCAAATGCCATGGCAATACATATGCAAATTACTTTTCGCACACTCTGGCTCACAAAAATGCACCGCAATCCGGACGGATACGAATACCGGATACGGGTGTACGGTTAGCACTACGTTCTACGGCCATGCCCACGAAAAGGGGGGCGTCTGCTTCTGCTGGTTATAGTCTGCCACTAATTTTGTGTTTTCTCTGCGGGCTGGCAGCCACTAAACTAATTGCCAACTGAGACTATACACCCCATTTCCATCTGCATTTCCCTGGGAAATCGGCAAAAAGGATGCCGATACTGATACACGGATGAGGATGCCGATGCCGATGGATGGAGATCGAACTGCACGGCGAAGAATTAGTTATGGTTGGACGGGCCTGAGATAGACGAAGAAGAAGAGTGCACAGCAAAACACTCTGGAATCAATTGCGAATATGGTAAACAGTTGAATAAATTCCAGGAAATTATGTTCTAGGCCAAACATTTAAAATAATGCATGTTTAAACAAATAAATATGCACTATTACTCAGTCGAATAAATAAGTAAATTCAATTAATATTGCTAGAAATTCATGGCATTAAATTATGTTCTAATCAGCGAAATAAATAGATAATTAGATAAATAAATAAATAAATAAATAGATAAATAAATAAATAGATGAAAAATAATTTAAAAAAAATGAATTCATAAATAAACAAATAAATAAATAAGCCCTATCACTTAGTGCAATAAATAAGTAAATTGAATTAATTTTCTAGCCTTTTTTTGGCTTTAAATGGAGCAAACTCCCTTCGTCGGGTAATTAATAATATAAATCACATTGAAATTTGGTCAACTATTGAAGGCCATTCGACCCTCCAAAGTCGGAAAAACCTTTGCTTTGCCCTGCCGAATTCCCAGCTGTGTAATCGATCTGATTTTGGGGTCATCACCCAGTATCCAATATCCAGTATTCAGTAGGTATCCTGTATTCAGTAACCAGTATCCTGTAGCCAGTGTACATTATTCCCCAGGACAGGACATCCACACTCAGGATGTCTTGTTTGCCTTCGAATTACTTTGGAATTGACAAAAGGGCTCTTGGTCGTTTGGTCGGCTGTTGGCCAAAGTCCCGGTGAAATTTATGACCCTGTCCGGATTTCGACAAAAGGGGAGAGCAACCGTATCCCGAATGGTGGAGTCAAGTAAATCAGAGAGCAAAAATGGTGCAAAACTTTTGCCTTGATTTTTGGCAAATTAATTTTAGTTAAATTTCAACACGTTTATTTCGTGTGTAAGGGGAGGGGTGAAACCCTACAAATTGTAAGCCAGGGGCGGTGGTTTTTGAGGGGGCGGAGGGCCAAAAGTTCGGTGTTCTCTGGTACATCGTGTTAGAAATTTCGAGGCGCATAACTTTTGCCATATTGTTTTTGAGTCGTGAGAGAAAATTGAAAAAGCGGATGAAAATTTTGCAAGGGAAAGTAGGGAGGGGGTGTGAAATTAGAAAGGTGGTTTGAGGCTTGAGGGTTGGCTGTTTTTCAGGTAATGGGGTAATTTGAGGTGCCCCAGTTGATGCAGACAATTCGGGAAGCTGAGACAAAAGTATTCCCGGCGGTTGCCAAAGTGCCCAAAAGTTGCCTAAATTCACTCCACCCTCGAAAATATCCACCACCTCGTGTCTTGATTTCTATAAAGTCTATTGAAATTGCCTTATAAACAAGGCGAGTGTCCAAAGGAAGGTGTGTTGAAATGGGAAAATGAGAAAATCTTAAAGTCAATTTCAAAGGCAAGCAAAAAGGCTTTGTTACTATTTTTAGGCGGTATTTTTGGGCCCCATTTTGTGGGGTTAATAACTGAAATTATCTGCAGCAACATGATTATTTGTAAGAAAAATAAAGTTTCTAACAATAAATTCCTTGTAGGTGGAAAATAAAAGGTATTTAAACATTCGTAGCATACTTTTTTGGGCTGCGTTTCAAAATAAAACTTTTGGAGGAAAATTATTTGAATAACAAATCTAAACATAATTATTTGTAAAA